TCGCCATCTGCCTCGGGGACGTGGAGAGGCTCTACAGGTGCGCGCGGATCCCGGCGGGAGCGGCTCCTCCCCCGGCGGACGCGGAGCCCCACGGAAGGGCCGGGTGGGCCGTGCCGGAGCTGCCCGAGGTCCCGTGGCCCCGGCGACACCGTGTGCACCCCCTGATCCAGCTGTCTCCGGCCCTGCAGGTACTGCCACGTCAATGTTCCCGACGAGCTGCTGCGGGACTTGCTCCCGGGACCGGTGACCCTGGTCTTACAGCGTTCAGAAGAGCTGAATAAAGACTTGAATCCGTTCACATCGGTAGGTCATGGCTACAGGATTGATCTCAGGGCTTCGAGGGCAGGGGCTGCTGTAACATTTGTCCTTACCTGTCCCCAGAAGTGGTCCCTGTGTTGTCCTGCTCCCTGTGACTGACCTGGACATGGCATAAACCAGCGTTAGGGCTTAAGGCTTGTGTTATTGCTGGTTCAGCAGATGTAGATCTGACAGCTCTTTCAGAGCTTTAGACAACACAAGATTAAAACCAATTCCTGTGTGTAAAGCCCTCCTTTCCTTCCCTGCAGCTGGTTGGTGTTCGCATTCCAAACCACCCCTTCATGAGGGACCTGGCTCGCGCCTGCTCGGGACCGCTGGCTTTGACAAGCGCCAACATCAGCTCCCAGGGCAGCACCCTGACTGTGCTGGTGAGGTTCTTCCATCCCTCAGGGATGTCACTTTGGCAGAGCCCCAGGCTCTCTCAGTTGAGCTCAGCTTTAGCAATAAACCAAGGGCTGCTCTGCTGATATATTTTTACTTTATTTAAATGATGCTCACAAACAGCTGTCAGGACTGTTACCAACAACTCTCTTGCAGGAATTCCAGGATTTGTGGCCTCAGTTGTCCTTGGTCATTGATGGAGGTCCCATAGGAGACATCCAGAGCCCAGAGTGTCGCTTGGGATCAACTGTGGTTGACTTATCTGTGTCAGGGAAATTCTCCATCATCCGGCCTGGCTGGTGAGTGTAGCTGGGGCTTTTCCTTTGCTTTAAATGAAACAAAGCTTTTGGGTAGGGGTGGCTCATGTATTACTTTGCTTTGTTTTGCTCTGCTTCGCTTCCCACAGCACTTCCACCTTCCCATTAATGTTGACCTCATTATGAGCACTCGCAGAAATCCTCAGGAGCTCTCAGATTCCCCTTTCTCACAGCTTCTGTGTGAAGCTGTAGTGTCTGGAGTTCATGCTGTCCTTGGCTCTAAGTGCAATCCTGTGTCTCACTGATTGCTCTTCCCCAGAAAATGCAGTTTTAATGCTCCAAACTCTTTGTTCTGATGGCTCTGTTTCTCCCTGCAGTGCACTGGCGCCCACAGTTGAAATCCTGAAGGAGAAGTATGGCTTGGTACCAGAACCTTCCTAATGCTTGGGACTGGGAGCTGTTGGAGCTGGGCACTGTGTGCCTGTGCACTCAGGAGTGGGTGATCATGGCCTTGTTTAATAAGGTCGATGGGTTATGTCAAGGTAAATAAAAAAAGATTTAAAAAAGAAAGACTGGAAAACCCTTTCTGACCTCTCTGTGCTGCTGTACTGTTCCCAAATGTCTGTTCTGTTATCCTGATCAGGCTTTGTGATTATGAAAGTTAAACTGTTGTCAGGATGGTGTGGGGAAGGCCCTGTGTGCCTCACCCACTTCTGGGTGCTCATCCTGTGCCATCTGCACTGGAAGGAAAGTGGACATGGAGTAGAGGGACTTTGAGGGTGTTACAGCTGTGCTGCTCTCCAGCTGCTCTTTGTTCTAAATGTGATCAAAGCCTCTTACTAAGCTGAAAGAGCCCATGCTTCTGAAAATTCAGTATTCAGATAACCCAGGCTAGAGCTGCTCAGAGCAACCTGCTTCCTCCTAATGCAGAGAATGAAATAAGCTTTTGGTGTGATGATCTTCCTTCATTTAAATGTAGAATTCAGCCTGCACTGGCAGGGTTTTTCCCAATGTCTTGAGGGAGCTGTTTTCTGTTGTTACTGCTCACAAGCAGCTGTCTCAGGCACTGCTGATGGATTGCACTGCACACACAGCTGACCCCAGAGTCATTGCCTGCCTGGAGCTGCTGCTATAAAATTCCCAAAGCACCAGGCTGGGTGAGTTACTGTCATTTGCAGAGTGGGTGTGTGATCTCTGCTCTTGCCTTTCTCAGTCAGGTATCCTGGGGGATGGAGGGGCTGAGGGAAATCAGAGCGGTCCCTTCCCTTTGCCTGCACAGGACCCCTTGTCCTGCCTGCCTGTCCCCAGTGCTGGCAGGAACTGCTCTGAGCAGAGGCTCTGCTGTATTAGAGGGGGCAGAGTGGGGCACTGGGGGTCCCCTTGCAATGAAACCATTAATTTGTATTGATGCTGCTGCTACTGCCCTGGTTCTGTTTCCCGATACAATGAAAACTAGACTCAGGCTAATTAAGCTGGAAACACAAAATTGCAATTTGCAGCTGATTAAGTCTTTCAAACAATATTTATGTGATTCTCCTCATCCCCCAGCTCACAGCAGAGCCAGAACTGGTGCCCCATACCTGTGGGTGTCAGGGCTGTCTGGGGCCTCACTGTAACCTCCCAGTACAGGGAGCAATTTCCCTGCTGGATTTGCACAGTGAGCAGCCCCTGCCTCTCTCCTCAGCTCATCAGCTATTCATCGATCCTTGCTGGGCTTCTCCAGTGCTCATCTGTCACTCACACCTGCCATCCACTTTCCAAACATTTCCTGTTTTCCCAGTGATGTATTTCCCTGCTCAGACAAGCTGATCTTGCACCATGGTGCACCAGGTGCAGCTGTGGCCCTGCCCTGTGCTGGCAGAGGCACGTGGCTGTGCCCTGAACCAGTGGAGCAGCTGAGCCATGGTCACTGATTGAGCCGTGCCCCTGAGGGGCCTCCAGGAGCTGCTTCCCTGGCTGTGGGAGCTCTGCTGCAGCAGCTCTTCCTCCTCCTTCCCTTGGGGCCTCTGAAACATGCAGGTGGAGCAGGTGGGGGCTCCTTTCCTGCATCTGCGTGGGGAGTGATGTCCCCCAGGTGAGGCACAGCCCTAAGGAGGAGCTGCCTTGCCTGAACGGGGCTGGCTCTGGAGTGCCCAGAGTCTCATCTTGGCCACAACCTGGAGTGGCATTTGTGAACAGCCCAGGTGGGCAGAAAACTGGAGAAATGTGTCACCATCTCAGCTGGTGCCTCTGCTCATGGCTCATTCCCTGCTGGCAGCATTCAGTGTCCCTGCAAGTGACAGATTTGTACCAGCAGCACCAAGAGGATGCGCCGTGCATCAGGCAGGGGTGCAAGGGTAGTGCAGAGACTGCAGGCACTATAAATTCCCTGTTCCTCTGGCTCCTGGCTGGCTGTGGGGCACTGTGCTGTCAGCATGATGTGCTTGGCACCAGCTGAGGTGACAGGGCTGTGTATCAGTGTCAGGGCGCTGTCAGCGCCTCTGGGATGCAGCACGGAGCAAAGCTGGGATTTGTTGCTTGTTCAGGTGTCCTTGGTGCCTCCCAAAGCGGGACCCTGCTGCTCCACCGAGTGACTGCAGAGTCCTGTGAGCAGGGATGGGACCTGCAGGGAGCCACCAGGACATGGTGACCTGTCTGCTGGGACATGGTGAAAATACACCCCCAGCCCAGTGGGATCAGACACAGCTTCTGCTGGGGAGGTGCCCCTGGAAATATGGGAGGCAGGTGTTCTAATTACGATTTTAAATTTATTATCTAAATATATATAAAATTATTATTCCTTATAATATATATTTATTTATTTATATAATTATTATTGATTATAAAGAGTCCCTGAGCAGGGAGAGTTTTTCCTCCATCACTGCAACCAGAGATCTGTGATGCTGCTGCTCCATAAACACCTTCATAAACCTACTCACAGACCAGGGTGACCCTTGTGTTTGCAGCCCTTGTGGAAACCACTTTGGCATGAGCAGACAGAGCAGGAGATGTGTGGTTTGCATTTTAATCAGCACTTGCCCTGCAAACAAAAATGCATCTGTAGAACCTCACCAGCAGAGCCAATTCAAACTTGTGGAGCAATGGTTCAACTGAGCAACACCAGGCCAGGCTGCCTGGGTCAGGGTTGGTTTTGGAGGTGAAGCTGCTTGGTGTCTGACCCTTTCCAGCTGTGTTGGAGCTGTTGGGAATGCTGCTGGCTGAGGCTTCTGAGAGCCCTAAGCAGGGAGAAGTTTTCCTCCATCACTGCAACCAGAGATCTGTGATGCTGCTGCTACTGCCCTGGTTCTGCTTCCTGACACAGTGAAAACCAGACTCAGGCTAATTAAGCTGGAAACACAAAATTGCAATTTGCAGCTCATTAAGTCTTTCAAACAATATTTCTCTTAATCTTCTTCTGATTTATTTTCTTGTAATGCCTTGAGTACAAGGTAGTGCACTGCTTGGGGAGATGCTTCCAGATGAAGCCCAGCCTGCCCTGCCAGATGCTGGGAGCTCAGAGTGAGGGTTTTTCACAGGATCCTGATTTAAGGAATTAGTCTGTAGAAGTGTAGATGATATAGACAGAAGGGACCTTGAGGTCATCTAGAGAATCTGTTTCCTCAGACAGCATTCCCTCTTCCAGGTCACCCCAGGTACATTTGTCAGATTTGCTCTCAGCTCCCTTTTCTGGAGGATTTTCTGTCTGGCTGCTCTTCTTCCCAGTTCCTTAAAAAAATATTTATTTGTGCTGGAATTTTTCAGGGGCTTACAAGTAACATGGTCTGTGTTCATCCACCTCTTGTCCATGTTTTCCCTTTTTCAGAATGTTGTGGTGTATCCACCCTGGTGTTGAGACCCCGGGGATGGCTGCAGGGAGTCCCTGGGGAGGAGGCTCTGAGGTGGGGAAGTGCTGGGGTGCCATGGGGTGTTACCACTGCAGGAGCCAGGAGCAATCCCTGCCTGCAGGGAGGAAAAGGTCAAGGGCTTTTCGCTGTGGATTTGTTAAATTAACTATTAATTTAATTTTGATTAAATTAGAACTTTTTCTGGTTTTTTTTTCTTACCAGCAAACGATTCTCTGCATAATTAATGCTGGCTGAGACTGCTGATTCACTTGCTGCTGTGGGCCAGAGCATTCCATTGCAGCCCAAGATGTGCTGGATTCCAGGGCCAGTCCTGTAGGAAAGCCATGCATAGCCCTGGGAAGGAGCACTTTGGTCCCCAGGAAAGGGAAAGCACTGGATCAGACCCCCCCTTGCAATGAAACCATTCATTTTTATTGATAAGCCCACTCTCCCTGGGCTCTGGGGTGAGGCTCCACATTAACTCTGCCCACAGGGGCCGGGAGTGGCCTGGCTGCAGCTCTGTCAGGTGCAAGTTGTCCTCAGCCACAGCTTGATTGGATGAGATTTCTGGGAACAAGGAGCTCCCAAGCTTGTGGCAATTACCTGCCCAATGTGGGCAGAGGGGAATTTTCAGGTTTTGCTCCTTGTATCCAGTTGTATCCTCTAAACACCCTTCAAACACTGACAGGCTTCCCCAGGTATGGAGAGAGCCCTCCCTGCCTCCAGGTGTCTGAAAGCAAAAGAAATGGTGAGTTCACAGGGATTTGGGGTTTTATTAAAACCTGCAGTGAGGGAGACAGTTGGTTTCATTATTCGGAACATGTCTGGCCAAAATCCTCTGCTGGTTACCAGACAGCTGCTGTCCTCTGCTGTGTGCCTGCAGCTGTGGTGAGAGGAGTGCTGGGGCAGGGACAGAGATGGGACAGGGATGGAGATGGGACAGGGATCTGTGGTGGGGCAGGGATGGAGATGGGACAGGGATCTGTGGTGGGGCAGGGATGGAGATGGGACAGGGATCTGTGGTGGGGCAGGGATGGAGGTGGGACAGGGATCAGAGGTGGGGCAGGGATGGATGGAGGGTCAGGGACAGTGGTGGGACAGGGATCAGTGGTGGGACAGGGATCTGTAGTGGGACAGGGATTGCTGGCAGGGCAGGAACCACCACACCTGGCTGATGTGGGAGCCCCAGAACTGGCAGAGGGAGCGGCCAGTGGGGCTCAGCCGTGGCTGAGGATGGCTGGGATTGCAGTGAAACTAAACTCAGCATCCAGGATGTTCCTGAGAGACACCATCAAGGTGCTGCTTGTGTTGGGACCAGGCTGGTCCTGCAGCCAGTTGGGAATGCTGGTGGGATGAGCACCCAGTGCAGAGACCATGTTTGCTCTACTTGTGCCCTCCGTGGTTAACTCTGCAAATAACTTCTTGGCAATGACTCCAATTAGGGCAGGACATCTCCCTGTAATCTCGATCCCTGTTGTGCTGTCAGACTCAATTCAAATTTAATTTGCTAAAGGTGTATATCAGGCAGCTTTTTTCCTTAAAACAAAACAGAGGGGAAGATATCGTTGATGGAAAAAATAATACAAGTTCATATTCTTCTTACCTTAAGGAAGGAAAAGAGATGCCAGAAAACATGGTTAAATTTACATTTTAATGGGAAATGTTCTGACTGCCTGCTCTGAGAAACACAAATTGCTTTCTGGATGGGACCCTCACTTATCCCAAAGTGCAGGGAATTAAATCCAG